GGTAACTGTCCAGGTAGCGAGATGTCTCTGTCAATTCTAGAGTTTTGGAAGTTGCTTCCAATGAACTTATTGTTTACTTAGGTAATATTATACCCTTCTGGAGTCTTTGATGGAGTTGAAGAATTTATAACTATAGTTATAGTTTTTCTTAGTTATAATAAAAGATAAAATAAATATAAATATTGTAACTGCAATTCTTGCTTGAAAACTGTTTTGTTATATGTAATTTTACTGTGCTAAAGTTAAAACCTTCCTTTTTATGTAAACAGAAAGGGGGAGGTGATGTGGGATTTCCCTCTGTATGCTGTGATTACCATTAATGAATAAAGAAACTGCTTTGGACCTATAACAGGACAGAACTTAGGTAGGTAGGGAAAACTAAACTGAATGTTGGGAGAAAGGAGGTGGAGTCAAGAGAGAAGCCATGTAGCCCTGCTGGAGATAGACGCTGGGAACTTTACCTGCTAAGCCACTGCAACGTGGCAGTACAGAGATTAATAGAAATGGGTTAAATTAATATGTAAGAGTTAGACAATAAGAAGCTAGAGCTAATGGGCCAAGCAGTGATTTAATTAATGCAGTTTCTGTGTGGTTATTTCAGATCTGAGCTGCCAAGTGACCAGAATGACCAAGTGACCTTCCCAAAACAAACTGGTGCCCAGTGAAACAAGCAATCTCCTCCAACACTATCCCCCACCCCTTCCACACTCAGAAGCCTCATTTGTATTTCCAAGTCCACTTGTTCAAGCAGGAGGAATAGCCACCCCTCACCTCCCACTGGGCAGGCCTCAGGGTGGTCTCCTGGGATTCAGAGATGAGGGAAAGGATGCTTCCCCCTCAGGTCAGGGTCTGGAGTTCAGCAAGAGGGGGTTCTGGCCTTGGAAGAGGCCCAGCAGCCCACTGTCTGGGACTGGCTTCTTAATGATCTTCTGGTCTGGGTCAGAAGTTAAGAATCGCCCATCTCACCAGGCAGTGGTTGCACATGCCTTTAATCCCAGCACTCAGGAGGCAGATAAAGGCAGATCTCTGAGTTTGAGGCCAGCCTGGTCTACAAAGTAAGTTCCAGGACAGCCAGGGCTGTTACACAGAGAAACCCTGTCTTGAAAACCAAGCAAACAAACAAGCAAAAAGAATTATTAGGTTATGGGGGCTTGCACTAAGGTGGGAGAGAAAAGCCCAGAAGATTAGACGATGTGAGCAGGGCAGGGCTCGTCCCAGGAAGAGCTGGCGTGAACAATGCATGGAGTGAAGGTTAAGTGGTGTGGAAGCCTGAGGATGTTGGAGACAGCATGAGTGTAGACCTTTGGGTAACGAAAGTGGCCCGGGAGGAGCGAGCTTAGACTGAGGCCATGTGTGCTGCACCAACGCCCACATGATATCACGTGCCCCATGCTGCCAGTGGAGGCACAGGATCTAATGTCTGCCCTGTTGGGTTTGGGTTATGCTTTGGTCCGCTCTCTGTGATCTTTCCAGCCCTCCAATTTGGAACGGGGGTGCTTACTCTGTCCTTGTATATCAGAATCATGGAACTTGCTTTTTGATTTTTCATGGGTTCACAGCTAAGGGACTGCCTTGAATCTTGGGAGAGACTTAAAAATATATCTATTTTTGTGTGCATGGGTGCTTTGCTTCCATTTATGTCTGTGCCCACGTGCCTGGTGTCTCTGGAGGCCAGAAGAGTGCAACCGGTTCCTTGGAACTGGAGTTACAGACAATGTGAGCCATCGTGTGGGTGCTGAGAATCAAAGCAGATTCTCTGGAGCAGTACCTAGTCCTCTGAAACACCAAGCCACCTCTCCAGTCCACTTAATTTTTTTTTTTAAATTAATGATCATCCTCATGGCTCATTGGGTAAAGGTGCTTGTCCCTAAGTCTAAAAACCTGAGTTCAGTCCCTGAGATGATGAGAGGCAAGAACTGGACTAATAAAAGTGGTTTTCTGGCTGCCAAGCTTACCATGGTATACGTGTGCACACACACTCTCTAAAGAAATAAAAGGAAAAAATTCAATTACATTTATCTCCTTATTCCATTCGTGTACACATGCGTGTGTATGCCACACAACATGGGCTCAAGTCAGAGGGCTATTTGTGTGTACATGTGTGTATATGCCACACAACATGGGCTCAAGTCAGAGGGCTATTTGTGTGTACATGTGTGTATATGCCACACAACATGGGCTCAAGTCAGAGGGCTATTTGTGTGTACATGTGTGTATATGCCACACAACATGGGCTCAAGTCAGAGGGCTATTTGTGGAAGCCAGTTCTCTCCTTCCACCCAATGGCTGTGATTAGACCTGCAATGTTATCTCACCGGCCCTCTGCGTGTCGTTCTTTTAGTTAAGACGGCTAATGCAGGGCTGGAGAGATGGCGGCAGGTAAGAGCAATAGCTGCTTTACAGAGCAGGGGTTTCAGTTCCTTGTGACCACACCAGACAGCTCGCAACTGCCTGTTGCTCTAGCTCCCGAGAATCTGACACTCTTTTGGCTTCCTCAGACACCAGGCCCACATGTGGTGCACAGACATATATGTAGGCACTCGCACATACACAGAAAATAAAAATAGATTTAAAAACAAACAAATCTTAAAGAATCTGTTCCCCTTGCCCAGGAATTAAGAGAGAGTTCTTTCTTAGCAACTTCTTGAGATGTAACCTGAGAGTCAATAAGAAATGGCCTTGTGGCTAATGCTAAGGCAGTTAGGAGCCTGTCCTCACACCTGAGTGAGTGTATCTTATCCCCCGACTCTCCCTTGGGAAGCTCATGTCTGCACTGGATGCGTCTTTCTTCTGAGTTTCTTCCTTTCCTTTCTTTTTCTTTCTTTCTTTCTGTTCTTCCTTTTCTTTTTCAAGATAGGGTTTCTCTGTGCAACCCTGGCTGTTCTGGAACTTGCTTTGTAAACCAGGCTGGCCTTGTGTGGAGCTATGTCTGTCCCCTTGCTACTGACAAGAGGACCCTGGTTATCAAGGATGTCTCCAGTAAGAGCTAGACAGAGGTGGGTTAGTGATAAACCTATCTTTTGAATAAACATAGAGAAAAGCCTGTAGAAGTCCATTGCGGTGGTGAACCCTGTAATCCCAGCACTTGAGAGATAGAGGCAGGAGGATTAGGAAATCAAGTCCAGCGTGGAGCTGGTGGTGTGTGGGTGTGAGCTTCGCAGTCCCAGAGTGTTTGGATTGAGGCATTGGCTTTGAAATAGTGGATTTCTGGAGCGTTTTAAGGATCTGGTGCTGTGATTAAGTGTGTGTGTGTGTGTGTGTGCACGCCTAGGGCAGTTCCACTGGTAACTAGTGGGCACAGACGGGAGCTCCGGATGACCACACTACAATGCACAAGAAGCTCCCAAGAAAAACCACCAAGCAAAGCCCAAACTCATCTCAAGTGAGTATCACGCTTGTAATCCCAGCTCTGGGGAGGTGGAGGCATGAGGATCATGAATTCAAGGCCAGTCTGGGCTGCATACTGGGCAACCTACATGAACCCGTGGCCTCACAAAATACATAAATATATAAAACAAAATAATCTGTCCCAAGTCATCCTTGCCCTGACTGAGAAAGCCTGCGTGATCCACACCGTGGATGCCAGCGAGCAGGAGGAAAAAGGCAGGTTTGCAGGGGGGGACTTCAAACTCCCCGCGAGACCCAGGCAATGCAGGAAGGTTGCATGCCTCAGTTTCCCCCGTCCGAGGAACTCCTCTCCAGGAGGACGGTGTCCAGACCTACACACGCCTCACTCCAGGACCCCAGGAATCACGCAGCACCCGGAGCACCCCAGTGAGGGGTGGGGTCGGGCTGGGAGCGGCGTGTTGCGTCATGACGCACGGCGGCGGCGGCGGGGTTTGTGTGCGCGAGAGGCCGCCGATAAAGGTTGAGTGCCTCGCGCCGGGGGCCGTGGGGAGGGAGCGCGCCCCCGCCCCCTCCCGGGCCGCGGCTCCCGCAGCGCTGTGCCGGGCCCCGCTTCCCGTCAGCCCCCGCGGGAAGGCTCTGGGGTTCTCCTTGATCCCCCTCCCAGACCGGGGCCACAGGTGAGAGACCGGAGGGCGCGATGGGGGAAGGGCCGGAGGGCGGAGTCGTTTGGGCAACGGCGAGCGGGAAACCGGAAGGGGTATCTTAAAGGGAAGGTGGCTACTTCGCCTCCGATATTTAATCTGTTTCGATCGGCCCCGCCCTCTTAAAGGAGAAGGGCACTGGGTTTAGCTATGCATTTTTGCAAAGCTTCCTGTCTCGCCCGCCCCCTTTCTCTTAAAAGAGGGTGACAGTTTCCCAGACATTGAAGGAAAATTTTTGTAATCCTGCTGGTCCCTAGAATATCTGAACAAAGATAGAGATGGGCATTTAACCTTTATTATTTTTTTCCAGACAAGTCTCATGTAGCTCAGGATGTCCTCAGACCCACTGTATAGCGGAGGATGATATTAAATTTATGATCCTCCTGCCTCCCTCCACCTTCTACGTGTTGGTATTACAGGTCTGTGCTACCAGGCCTGTTTTTTTCTGCTGTACTGGGAATAGAATCCGGAGCTTCATGCATGTCAGTCACTAACAACCAAGCTACATCCCAGGCCCCAAGAGCATCGAAGCCCATCCTTTTAAAGGGGACTCTTACTGCTAAGATGGGTTCCTGTTTCTTTGGGCATCTCGTGTTAAAAGATGCGGCCTGACCTCTCAAAGGCACATGGGAGCTTAACCTCATTGGTGGCTTACTTGGCAAAAGAGACACCCATCCTTTAAAAAAGCAATCTTTTATAGCCTGTTGCTCGTCCTTTAAATGCAGAGATGTCTAAAGGGAATGCCTAGTCTTGGTCCACTTGGACTGTATTTACTGAGCATGCATTCAGCTGATGCTCTGCTAGGTGCTGGGATGCAACCGTGAACAAGAAAGGGCTCAGGGCTCCCTGTTTACATGGTGCGAGCATTAGACTGAATAAAAGTGGCAGCAAGAAGCTAAATGTCTTGGGGAGGGGACACTGTAGCAGTGATGGAGGGTTTACTAGGGCAGGATCAAGCTGGTACCATTTTTGTTGCCAGTGGCATCCATCAGGTTGACAGGTCAGGAATCCTGCCAAACACCCAACAATGTATGAGCCGGCCCCTCTGACAAAGAATGCCCCGTCCTCAAATCTCTGTGCTGCTGAGGTTGGGACATCCTGACTGGGTGGCACTTAGCTGACTGGCCCTGTGAGGAACGGAGCAAACCGAGTATGCAGAGAGAGCAAGGGAGTGCTGAAGGGGCTTAAGGAGGGTGGTCTGAGGAGGGAGGTCTGAGGAGGGTGGTCTGAGGAGGGTGGTCTGAGGAGGCCTCTCTGAGGTGATTTTAGTGCAGACATGTGTGACAGGGTGAATTGTGGATGGTGGAAAGAAGGCGTACTAAGCAGGAGCCCCAAGATGGGGGTCACTCTCCCTGCCTGCTAGAGCTAGAGGGACAGGAGGCCAGCAAGAGGGGGGAGAAGGCCACCAGTCTTGAACATCCAGCAGGCTGCTGTAAGAGGTTTGTCCCCTGTTCTCATACAGGCGTGACTGCTACCTAGACTGGCCTCTCCCCGACTCCCTGTGTTACCCTCCTAGTGTGTGCAGTGCTGGGTTCAGGCCTAGGGGTTTGTGTGTGTTGGAGAGGCACTCTATCAGCTGAGCTACATCTCAGCCCTACTTGTAAATATTTGATAAGAGGGCATAGAAGGTAAAAACAACCGGAGTTAGATTTTGGTTAAATGCGAGGTGTTTTAGGCACAGTGCAGCAAGCATGGGGATCAAAGGAGAGTCTTCAGGAGCTGTAGTTTTGGGGTTCTTTATTTATAGATTGTGGAATCCTAAGAGGGGGCGAGGACTTCCAGAGAGAGACGGGTAGACAGAAAGAGCAATTCTTGCCTGCGCTCTAACTCAGCCTCCAGGTTTAGAAGGATCCAGCCCAGAGGCTGCGATGGTGTCAGGGAGGAGCGTCAGCCTCCTGAAGCTAGGAAGATATGCCAAAGGAAAGTCTGAGCAGCAAGGGCTGGGGACGACAGGTGACTGAAGCGCTCCCAGAGGGAAGAGCAGGTTGAGGGGCTGGAGGGAACTGAAGCAAGGGTGTCACTTCTTTGTGTGTGCTGCTGAAAACCTGGAGGATTCCAAGGGAGGTCAGAGGCTGTGGCACAGGGCAGCATGGGGGGGGGGGATCCTACAGTTCCTCAGCCTTGTGTTGCTGCTGTTTCGGCCTGGATCTTTGTGGGGTTCATCCTGTGCACTGTAGGGTGTGGGGAAGCACCTCTGTCCCCTGCACTTGGTAGATAAGCAACAGTGAGTGTCTCCAGGCATCACAGGCTGCCCCCTGAGTGGGAAGAGCACTGGTGGAGCACGGGATGTATGTTCTGACACCTTTTCTCATCCCTGTCACTGCGGTGAATGATGGCAGGAGGTCACCTTCGAGGACCAGGGAAGCAGTTTCAGTGGGAAGAAACATGCCAAAGGGTTACCCCTGAGCGCAAGCAGGGACCAGATAGTGCAGTGTGAGCTGAGAAGCATGGGGAGTGTCCAGAATGTGCACATGCGTGTAGGAACAGTGAAACAGGCGGGCCAAAGCCGGGGTGTACCAGGGAGTGAGTGCACGGAGGCCAGGTGACACCGGAAGTGGTGGCATGATGGGAGGAGGCCATGGTAGTGATGGAGTGATGGAAGATTTTGGGGACCCAAGAGAGAGGGGAGGGGCAGTGGGAGGGAGAGGTTCTGGTCACTGTTGAGGTGGGGAAAGGTAGGGGCAAGTCTTCAAACCAGAGCAGGAAGCCAAGCCAGAGGCTTCTAAGGCACTGCCGTCCAGGGAACAAGTGTCCTGAAGGCCGTGCTCTATCTGGAGCCCACCATCCCGGGTACTCCATTATTTCTCGTAGTCTGTGTGTGATACTGTGTGTTAAGCCTAGGCTGTTGGAAGCTCTAACCCTAAGGAAGAACCCCTACAGTGTGGGTGACACAGGGAGGCTGCCCCGTTCCTTGGAGAGGTGATGAGGGCCAGTGCTAGCCCGCTCTGATCAGAATCCTCCCACCAGGTGTGATGGCCAGCTCCCACGTGGACATGGCGCCAGCTTCCACCACCGTGGGAACGGAGGAAAAGCCAGGCCCCACTGCCCCAGCACCCACCCCCGCTGCTCAGTATGAGTGCGGGGAGTGCGGTAAGTCCTTCCGGTGGTCATCTCGGCTCCTGCACCATCAGCGCACGCACACGGGCGAACGGCCTTATAAGTGCCCGGACTGCCCCAAAGCCTTCAAGGGTTCCTCAGCCCTCCTCTACCATCAGCGGGGCCACACAGGCGAGCGGCCGTATCAGTGCCCAGACTGTCCCAAAGCCTTCAAGCGCTCCTCCCTGCTGCAGATCCACCGCAGTGTTCACACGGGCCTGCGAGCCTTCACCTGTGGCCAGTGTGGCCTGGCCTTCAAGTGGTCATCCCACTACCAGTACCACCTGCGACAGCATACTGGCGAGCGGCCCTACCCATGCCCAGACTGCCCCAAGGCTTTCAAGAACTCGTCCAGCTTGCGGCGTCACCGGCATGTACACACCGGGGAACGCCCTTACACCTGTGGCATTTGCGGCAAGAGCTTCACACAGAGTACCAATCTGCGCCAGCACCAGCGGGTACACACAGGGGAGCGTCCATTTCGCTGTCAGCTCTGCCCCAAGACCTTCACACACTCCTCCAACTTGCTGTTGCACCACCGCACCCACAGCCCTGCCCCTGGCTCCATCCCCACCCCTGAGGAGGAGACCAGCACAGCCAGCACCAAGGTCCTGGTCTCTGATGCCTACCTACAGCCCTGCAGCCCACCTGCACCCCAAGTCCCGTCCCCTCCACCCCCACCCGTGGTCCCTGAGCTCTTCCTGGCAGCTGCGGAGACCACTGTGGAGCTGGTGTACCGCTGTGACGGCTGCGAGCAGGGATTCAGCAGCGAGGAGCTGCTCTTGGAGCACCAGCCCTGCCCGGGTCCCGCCGTGGCCGCCCAGCCCCAAGATGCGCCTGCTGAACTGCCCCAGGCCGATCCCCCTCTGCCACAGCCCCCGCCTGTCACTGCGGAGTCCCCGAACTTTGCTTGCCTTCCTTGCGGGAAGTCCTTCCGGACCGTGGCTGGCCTGTCCCGCCACCAGCACAGCCATGGCGCAGCCAGTGGGCAGGCCTTTCGCTGCGGCAGCTGTGATGGCGCCTTCCCACAGCTGGCCAGCCTTTTGGCTCACCAGCAGTGCCATGTGGAGGAGGCGGCCGCTGGTCGCCCGCCCCCTCAGGCTGAGGCTGCTGAGGTCACCTGTCCCCAGGAGCCTCTAGCCCCAGCCACTCCTGCTCCACCTCCACCCCCGCCTGCCCCTGTTTCTGCAGAGCGGCCATACAAATGCGCCGAGTGTGGCAAAGCCTTCAAGGGTTCTTCCGGGCTGCGTTACCACTTGCGGGACCACACCGGCGAGAGGCCCTACCAGTGCGGGGAGTGCGGCAAAGCCTTTAAGCGGTCCTCTCTGCTGGCCATCCACCAGCGCGTGCACACAGGCCTTCGAGCCTTCACCTGTGGTCAGTGTGGCCTCACCTTCAAGTGGTCATCCCACTACCAGTACCACCTGCGACTGCACTCAGGTGAGCGGCCCTATGCCTGCAGCGAGTGTGGCAAGGCCTTCCGGAACACATCGTGCCTGCGGCGCCACCGACACGTGCACACTGGCGAGCGGCCGCACTCCTGTAGCGTGTGTGGCAAGAGCTTTGCACAGACCTCCAACCTGCGGCAGCACCAACGCGTGCACACGGGCGAGCGACCCTTCCGCTGCCCACTCTGCTCCAAGACCTTCACCCACTCTTCCAACCTGTTGCTGCACCAGCGCACCCATTCTGCCGAGCGCCCTTTTGCCTGCCCCATTTGCGGCCGTGGCTTTGTCATGGCTGCCTATCTGCAGCGGCATCTGAGGACGCACACCCCAGCCACAGCAGCCTCGGGCACCACCGGCCCCACTGTTCCACAGCCTCCTGCCCCATTGGCCGCAGCTCCAGCTCCACTGGCCGCCCAAGATGTTCATGTCCTTCCCCACCTACAGGCCACACTTTCACTTGAAGTAGCTGGGACCACAGCTCAGGCTACACCCCCAGGCCAAGTAGTCCCCAACTCCCAGACATTTCTCCTGGTACAGACTGCCCAGGGCCTTCAACTGATCCCTAGCAGTGTCCATCCCCCTACCCCTCCACCACCGCCTCCACCCCCCAAACTCATCCTCCTGCCTCCTGCCAATACTGGGGGTATGGGCAATGGTGCTGCGAGACAGGGCCCTCGGGCTGTGGGGAAAACTGGACAGGGGACAGGAGTAATGTGGTTTCCAGGCCCCAGTGGTCTGGGGATGCAGGGAGGGGGTAATGCAGGGGCTAGCGGGGGAGGCCAGAGCCTCATTGTTCTGCAGAATGTAGGGAGTGGGGAGACAGGGTCACAGGAAATGAGTGGGGTTCAACTTCAGCCAGCACAGGAAGTGGCCACGGTCCAACTCCAGCCTGCACAAGAAGTGACCACGGTCCAGCTCCAACCAGCACAGGAAGTGACCACGGTCCAGCTCCAGCCCCTGACAGGCCAAGTCTCCAGTTCTAATGGCGGGGCTGTGGCTACGGACACTCCAAACCTGCTGGTGGTTCAGAGTGGCCCTGAAGAGTTGCTCACTGGCTCTGGGCCTGGGGAGGTGGGGGACAGCGAAGCCAGTGCCAGTGTGGTTCAGGATGTCCTGTTTGAAACGCTGCAGACAGATGAGGGGTTGCAGAGTGTGCTGGTGCTGAGTGGGGCGGATGGCGAGCAGACCAGGCTCTGTGTGCAGGAGGTGGAAACCCTTTCCCCTGGGCTGGCAGAGCCACCCGCCACTGCCCCTGCAGGACAGAAACTCCTCATCATTCGGAGCGCTCCCGCTACCGACCTGCTGGAGAGCAGCAGTGTTGCAGGAGGCACCGCGACACTGCAGCTCCTGGCCCCACCAACACCTGGCCCGGTCTCTGCCCCTGTCGGGGTGCCCGTAGCTCCCACCTCCCAGATGGTACAAGTGGTCCCTGCAGTGGCTGGCCCGGGGGTCATGGCTCCCCAGAGCTTGCCCTCTATCCAGATTGTACAGACTCTGCCCGCAGTCCAGTTGGTACACACATTTTGAAGAGACCCACTAGTACCTCCGTCTGCCACAAAGCCCCTCCACACACACCCCCTCCGCCCCTGCCGCACTAACTGTTCTCCTCAGCTGGGCTGGGGTCAGCCGAGTCAAGGGGGCCGCTGGCTGGGCTTGCTAATAAAGACAGAGTCTCTTCTTGGTTTCGTTTTCATGGGGAAGAGGATAGCCATGGGCATAGCTTCTGCCTAGGACCTGGAAGTCCTCATTCTTGCCACCGGCTCTGAGATGACATGCTTTGTACTCAGAGGCTAGCTGCTTCTCCAGGGTGCAACTCAATTCCCCCATCCTTTAAATTTTTAATGAAGAGTTTTGTTGTGAGTGTGGGGGGGAGGGGTACACCTGTGGAGGTCAGAGACTTTGTGGGCGTCTGCCATGTGGATTTTCTTTTGGCAAGCTCTCTTACTCCCTGAACTATTTCTCTGGTCCTTTCCCATCCTCGTGTGTGTGTGTGTGTGTCCGTCCGTCTGCGCAGGTGCGTGTCACTGTGGTCACTAGAGTAGGGAAGATCAGGGATCAATTCCAGATTCTTCACTGCTTTCGTGTAAGTCAGTCTTACCTTCACCTCACCGGAAAGGTAGGTAGAGGGCTATTACTGATCCAAACGATACCCAGATGCTACCGCGTTGAGATAAAGGTGCCTGCGGATGGGAATGCTCAGTACTGCTCCCACTCCTACCCGGAAGACCCAGGCGCCAATGAGACTAGGTTCGCAAGCAAAGCCTCCTCCTCCTGATGCTTAGGTCGCTTAGCAACGAAGGACCGGCTAGAAAGAAGCTGTGCTAACCCTCCACAGGCAGGCCCGGGTAAGAAACCCTCTCTCTCCCCCACCCCCTTCCTCTTTCCCTATGGTTCTCCCACCGGCCTCCAGCAGGTCACTGCTCTTGCCTCGCCCTCGCGGTTCCCTCATTACTCCCAACCTCTGCCCCGGTGGTGGGGGAAACATGGCAACAGTTGCTAAGGCGCCGGCCCCGCCTCCAGTCGGGAGTGTCAACGTCACTTCCGCCGGTGACCCTTTCCTGACCCTGCTCCCCCTTGCTGTCAAGGGATTCGAGCAACCCCGTGGAGGTGCTTGCAGGGCCCTGTTTCTGCTCGCCGCATGGGGACCACTGCAGGAGACGGGCTCCTGGAGAGTGGGGAGGGAACGAGTTTACAGATGGCTGAATGCTTTCCCCGGAGTGGGGGGTGATTCGGGGAGACTTTGAGCCCCACTGGGTATAGGGGCGCCTGACCTGCCACTGTGGCAGCCCTCTTTGGCGGTGCTCCAGCGTCCTTGGTGATCTGGGAAATGCTGCAGTCCATTCCTCCCAGGGCTCTGAGGAGTCAGGTGCCCACCTAACACAGACCAACTTGTTTTCAGCAGGTGCACGACGCCAACTCTCTTCTGGGGAGGGGGCGGCGGCCCGGGGGCTACCATGGCCTCCAACCACTTGTCAGTGCGGGAAATGAGGGAAGATGAGAAGCCCCTGGTGCTGGAGATGCTGAAGGTGAGAGGCCGGCAGGGGCACCAATGAGCATGCGCAGTTCATTCAAAGTGGGTTCCACCTGCCCCGCCCACCTGCCTGCGTTCTCAGGGACCTCCAAAGGGGGAATATCTTTGCCTTGACTGTTTTCAAATGGTCCCTTGTCTCTGGTTCCTTCTTACACCTCAGCTGCTATTTTTCAAAAATAGCAGGAAGGGTGTGGGGGCTGGGTGTTCAGGCCTCCTGACCGCCAGTCGGCATCACTTACCAGCCCCAAAACGACAGATGTTCTTATCTCCCAGACCCTCCTCCGAAGAGCCCACGGCCTCACTTTCCCTATCCTGTTAAGTCTTGTCTGGTGTTTTACCCTAGCATTCCCTCCATACTCATTGGCTCCAGGCCCTGGTTCATTCATTCACTCAGCCCTTCACACCCAGTGGGGTCAGGCTGGAACTACCTCAACAGCTGTCGTCTCTTCCCACATGGGAACCCTTCCTCGGGCAGTCCAATGTGATGAGTGGCTGAGCCCCTATTCCCACCCACAGGCTGGTGTAAAAGACACGGAAAACCGTGTGGCCCTCCACGCTCTGACACGTCCACCAGCCCTTCTCCTCCTGGCTGCAGCCAGCAGCGGCTTGCGCTTCGTCCTGGCCTCCTTCACCCTGGCCCTCCTGCTGCCGGTGTTTCTGGCCGTGGCTGCCCTGAAGTTGGGCCTGCGAGCCCGATGGGGCTCTCTGCCTCCGCCAGGCGGTCTGGGGGGACCCTGGGTGGCTGTCCGCGGCTCCGGCGATGTGTGTGGGGTCCTGGCTCTGGCCCCTGGTGTCAATGTGAGGGACGGAGCCCGAGTCACCCGCCTCTCGGTCTCTCGGTGGCACCGTCGCAGGGGCGTAGGCAGGAGACTGCTGGCCTTTGCTGAGTCCCGAGCTCAAGCCTGGGCTGGGAGTGTGGAGGAGCCTCGTGCCCGGCTCGTGGTCCCAGTGGCTGTGGCTGCTTGGGGGCTGGCAGGGTTATTGGAGGCCTCTGGCTACCAGGCAGAGGGAGGTTGGGGCTGCATGGGCTATATGCTGGTTAGAGAATTCAGCAAGGATCTGTGATTATAGACCATGCCCACTGGGGAGATGGGCGTGAAACCGGCACCTAAAGAGCACCTGTGTGCCAGGCACTTTCCATCCCCTCCCTCGGTGAAGAACTGAGGTTGCTGGATGCACATGGCCCGCAGTGGACCTGCCAGGTGCAGTAGGGTCTCGTCTTGGTAGACCCCAGGGACCGCTAGCGGTCACCCTGTCCACTCTTTGCCCCCTAGTCTGTATACACTGAAAAAACAAACAAACCTCTGGTTCTACAAAACCCCTGTTGTGTGTGTTTTAGGTCTCAAAGGATATTTGGGGAGAGTAAGAGGCAGAGTTAAGAGTCTGTGACAGGGAACCCCCAAAGGGGACAGATCTTCTGGAATGGGTGGGGCTGGGAGCACCGAGTTTCCAAGCCCATCTGTTTTTTTTTACAGTTTGTTAATAAAGCCTGAGACTTCTGCGTGTCTGTCTCCTCTCTGATGCCTTTTCCAGCTGCTCCCTCCGAACCCCCTCCTTCCGTCTGGCTCCTCCTCTCCAAAGTTGACGTTAATTGCTTGGGAAGGGGCGGTGCAGCAGTGTGCTGGGAGAAGGAGAGGCAGAGGCAGTGAGCTCACAGCGGCTGCCGGGCCCCTGCCAGGCCTTCTGAGTCATGCTCCCCATTACCACATTTTTCCCCCTCGCAGCTGCCTGGTGTGTGTGCATGTGCGTGTGTGCGTGTGTGTGTGTATGGACACCCCCTCCAGACTGAAGCCTTGACCCCTTGGTCTCCCTACCCTTCATACCTTTGTTCTGGGAACTAGTAAGTTCAGACACTCCTTCCTCAGATAGGGGACTAGAAGCTTCCCATGCAGATTTAACAGAGTGGGTATCAAATGGAGAGAGGTTTTTTGTTTGTTTGTTTTCAGTTTCTTTTCTTGATCTAGGAAGTCCCTCCTAGTGTCTGGCTGCAGGCCTTCTTGCTACTGCAGGATTCCCCCCAAATCTGTCCACTTCCAGCCACACTTCCCTGGCCGGATAACAAGAGGAGGCAGGAGGGTGTGCCCTCAGCCTTGTCCCCCCCCCCCAACCCAGGCAGGCCTGTCCCTTCCCAGAGCTGCCGTCCCCATAAGCATCTCTGAGCACGTGGCCCTCTGGAGCCTGGCTGGCCGCCTCGCTCCAGTGTGGGTGTCTGCACTTGAACACCTCCCTTCTGCCTGCCCACCACCCCCCCTCAGCCTCAGCTGCGGCCAGCCCCCTCCCCCTCCTGTCCCCTGCTGCCTCCTTGCAGCCGCTCTCCCTCCTGGCAAAGCCTTCAGCCCAGCCTGCTCCTAGCTGTCCAGGGCGCCTCGGCAGCCGGCTTCCCTCCCTCCTTCCCTCCCTGGCTGCCTCCTCCTCCCTTCTCCTACCCTCTTTCCCCCTTCACCCCCATCCCCTGCCCTGGACTCTGCAAACATGAGGGTCTTGGCCTGCCTCCTTGGTGAGTGACCCATTCCTGGGGGGTGGGTACCTTAGGGACCTGGACTTTCACCTCTGACCCTTTAGCTTGTCCAATTTAAGGACTCAGGCTTCAGGGAGCCATTTCTGGCCCTTGGTGCTCGGGGATAGCCTGACATCTGGCTGGCTACCCTAACCCTCAGGTACCCAGTCTTTAGCACATCCTGCCTAGCAACCCAAGTGACCTGCCCTTTGTTGCACTGGCATTCTTACTGCAGGGGGTGAGGGGGTGGAGGGTATCACTCCCTACCATTCAATCTGGTCCCCAGCCCTGTCTTCAAGAGTCAGGCATCTATCTGGGGCCCCACCCGCCCCAGGGACCTGTAACTTATCCCAGCCTCCACCCAAAGTCCATTCTGGCCATGGGGTTTCTGACTCAGAGGTGTGAGGAATCCGAATGCCAGGGGATCCGTATGTGACTGAACTTAAGCCTGGAGCCTGCACTGGGGAAATGACCCCTCCCCTTTGACTCACCCTTCACTCTGTCCCCTCCAACCTCCTTTGCAGCACTACTGGTGGGGACCCAGGCTATTGGTAAGTGTCCTGATTCTCCAGTGGGCCTCACCCAGCTCCAAGGCTCCTGTCGTTACTCTCCTGCTGGTCCCTGCTACCCTGATTCCACTCTGACCTTCCACACAGCCCTCAGTATCTCTAAGACACTCTACTCATTGTATCAGGAGTCTGGGTCCAGAGTCCTGTCTCCGGGGTAGCTGGCTTCCTGATGGTACCTTACTGTCCCCTAACCCCCAGACCACAGTTCTCCTGTCTGGAGTCGTCACAGCTTTTGCTTCACCCCTCAGAGCGACTACGCCTGGCTGATGGCCCTCACGGCTGTGCTGGACGCCTGGAGGTCTGGTACAGCGGGCGCTGGGGCACCGTGTGTGATGACGGATGGGACCTTCGGGATGCTGCGGTGGCCTGCCGAGTGTTGGGCTGTGGAGGGGCGCTGGCTGCCCCTGGGGGTGCCTTCTTCGGGGAGGGCACTGGACCTGTGTGGCTCAGTGAGCTGGCCTGCCGGGGCAGTGAGGGACAGCTGGGTATCTGTCCCCACCGGGGCTGGAAGGCCCATATCTGTTCTCACGAGGAGGACGCAGGCGTCGTCTGTGTAGGTAAAGAACTCAAACTCCTCTCATGTTGATGGCCCCAGGAACCCCAAGTCCTTAGTTCCTGTAGATCTGAGCTGTCTAGAAGCTGAGAGGTGCCCACTTATCCCCATAAGGTCAGGTGCCCCATCCTAGGAGCCCCCAGCTTACAATCACTTATTTATGAGCCCTAGGGAATTCAAGCATCCAGGTGGTTCTTCTGTCCCAAGGATCAAATGACCTCTCTACTCCTTACCCCATGGCCATCCTCACAACTCCCGTGCTCTCCCAAAGGTCAGCGTGCAGCTAACTCTAGAGAAGATTCAACATCCCTACTGGATGGGGATCCGTGGCCACCACTGTCTGGAGAGCTGAGCCTGAGCTCAGAGGAGCCCCCAGTGACTCATGGTGAGCACAAAGGACTAGGCCTCCTGTCCTGCAACCCGGTCTGTCTCAGCTATGGGGGAAGGTCATCTTGCTGCAGATGTTTTTCTGCAAGCTAGTGAACTAGTGTCCTGCATGACCCAGGAGTCCTCCACACTTCAGACCCTCAGCGAGAGAGCCCTAGACAGGCACCAAGGAGTCAGGAAGGGTGAATAGCTCAGACCCTGACTTCCCGGTCACGTGTCGCTTTCCCAGCTCCCCAACCAGCAGCAAGCTCCCAGAATGGCCCTCGCAAGAAGAACCCCCGACCACCCAAGCAGGTCAAGTCCACCAGGGCCCCTGTACTGACAAATGGAGCTTCCCGCCAAGGTAATCTCCCTGGTTTCCCTCACTGATCTGGGTGCCGGGAGCCTCCCAGACTTTCTTCTGCCCGTGGTCCTCCAAGGAGGCCAGTGTTCACAGTGTTCTCCCTCGGGATTCAGGCAGGGCTGGCCACGCCCTCTAACTGATCCTTCCCTTATGAGACCCAGGGGTCCTGCCCACGGCGGTTCTCTTTTTTGAATGAGCCAGTCCGCAGACAAACTTGAGTCCCCTGCCCTTTCTGGGCTTCAGTTTCCCCAGGTGGAGGAACAAGAGGCTGATATTAGACCTAACCTCTTATGGTCTTCCTTCTCTGTCTGTATCCCCAGAGCGACTGCGCTTGGTCTCAGGTCCCCACGGATGCGCTGGCCGCCTGGAAGTCTGGCACGGTGGACGCTGGGGCACTGTGTGTGATGACGGATGGGACCTCCTAGATGCAGCAGTGGCCTGTCGGGAGCTGGGATGTGGGGGGGCGCTGGCCGCCCCTGGGGGTGCCAGATTCGGACCTGGTGCAGGACCCGTGTGGATGGACGACGTGGGGTGTGGAGGAGGAGAGCAGGCTCTCCGGGACTGTCCCCGGAGTCCCTGGGGCCGGAGCAACTGTGACCACACTGAGGATGCAGGGCTGGTCTGCACTGGTATGCGGGATGGGTAGGGGGGCACAGATTACCCCCTCTCCTCTTCAGTTCTCAGGTCCCAGCCCCTCCCTCCCCCCAGGAAGCAGTAAAAGGCCCGGCCTCAAGGCTGTCTCTCTGCACATTCTCTGGAGAAATGGGAGAGTCAGATTTGAAGCTTGGGTTTAGTCTACCAAGCGCCAGCATTCGGGGAGCAATGAGGCTAGAAACCCGGACAAGGGGTTATGGAAAGGCACTTGAGGGCTCCCTCCTCCATTCCCTCTCTGCCTTCTTCTACTGCCCCTCCTCCCCCTCCTCCACATTCTTGTTCCCTGTTGGCTCAACTCAGTACCTATTCACCTATCCTGATTCCTCACTGGTCTAACTCCGTACCTGCGCACCCATGCTGGACTCTTACAGAACGTTAACATAGTCCTCGCGAACTCATTCTAGTTTTCCCTTCTGGTATAACATCTGCAGCTCCTCATTCACTCTAAGTTCTTGTCACCCTATCCCCTGTCCTATATCCAGGTCCTGCACCCAGGCTGCGACTTGCTGATGGTCCCCATGGCTGCGCTGGCCGCCTGGAGGTTTGGCATGGTGGTCGCTGGGGATCAGTGTGTGACGATGCCTGGGATCTCCGTGATGCTGCTGTGGCCTGCAGGGAGCTGGGCTGTGGGGGCGCGTTGGCCGCCCCAGGGGGCGCATTCTTTGGGGAGGGGGCTGGACCCATTGTCCTGGATGATCTCAGATGTCGCGGGAATGAGACAGCCTTGCGATTCTGCCCTTCGAGGTCCTGGGGCCAGCATGACTGTCACCATCGGGAGGATGCTGGGGCCGTGTGTGATGGTAAGGGCCTGTGAGTGACATCAGTGGGGAAGGCGGGGACAGTGGGTGTGTGGCCACCTGGAGTGGATGGGAAAGAATGTTGTCCCTGCTCATGCTGCGTTTCCTGTGTGTGGATTTCCCTCTTTCCCCATCTTACATTATGTGAAACCTTGGTCAGAGTTAACTAGGGGTAGCTTGGTCTCCCTAACAGACACTGGATATTGTTTGATGGGATGAACCCAATTTCCTTGCTCCTAGTTCAAGCCAGTCTTGCCTGCTTAGGGGTGCTTCCCCTCTCCTCTCTGGCCTCTAAACTCCCTCCACATTGCGCTCCCTCAACCCTCTTATTTCCGCCCACTTCTTGCTGTGGGTGGGAGACCTGGAAGCCCTGGGCGTAGTCTGTGTAGATGGCAGCCCCGGAGGTAATACTAATGTCTTCTTCCTCGACCTAGGCATGCCGCTAGGCGATGTGCAGCCCATAGCCCCCACAGCCGACAGCAACACCTCAGCACCCCGGCTTTTGTCTACCTCAGTGAGCCAGACCCCAGGCCCAGTAGGCAGTCGGCCTCCTGCCTCTCCCACTGACCCTCCAGAGCCTGGGCCTGAAGCTGGTGAGTCCCTCTCTGCCCTGGCTGTGTGTGAGACTGTCCCCTGCCCCTGCTCACTAGGACACATACTGGCTGACACCCTAAAATCCAGGGCTGTGTTTGCATATGGGT